ATGTTTTAACTATTTCATACATATTTATTAACTATGTCGAAACTATATATTTTTAATAATTTCCTTAAACAGCTCTATTTTTATCATATTTGAAACCTATTTAATTTCTATTCGAGTACATCAATCAAGTATTTGTTTAGAAATATATCATGAATAGGAAAAAAATATGGTTCCACTTGGATAGGAAAAAATAGCTTTTCTACCCCAATTTAAATAGGAAAAACCTCGAAAAAAAATAATAGTAAAAATAGGAAATAAATACTTTGACAAATAGGAATTAAATAGCCCAATAAAATAGGAATTAAATAGCAATTAAATAGTGTTTGTTTCTACAAGGGAAGGCAATAGTAGATATTTTACGCTGAATCGAATGGTGGTGTTTTCATCTACATCGCGCTTACTGAACCGAAAATATGAACCTTGCAAAGTACAAGTCCGATTCTGGAATTTCTAGGGGCTTGTCGAATAGGAGTTAATGTCCTAGTTCTGTCAAATCTTATTAATTAAAACGTTAATATTTCATTGTACGTTAGCGACGAAGAGATTACAGTTCAAGAAGAGAAACGGGACAGGCTATAATTTAGTTTTACAGATATTGTACACTAATAAATTAATAATATAGTATTTCAAATAGTCAGAAACAATGAAATATACTTTAATATCATAGTCATAATATGGGCATTACTTGTAATTTTTTTAGTGATGAATTGACTATCGCTGGCACTTCCACCAATATTTCAGAGGAGCAAAGGAATTTAGGTGCGAAATAAAATATCTGTTAGATACCATTTGATTTCTCAGTTTTTTTAATTGTATTTTCTGAATATTCTTATTCTGGATTCTTTGTTAGTGGCGGACAGTAGAGGGGGGAGGGAAGGGGGACTGACCCTCTTCCCACCAATAAATTATGAAAGCATTTGCATTTGAAAGCTAAATAACTAAATAAATTGGCTAACCATTGAGCTATAAATTGTGAAATTTAAGCCAAAATAAAAGTTAAATATACTAAGATTTCTAGCTACAAAAGGTGGCCATATGTTGGCAACCTAATTCACCCCCGCCCAGTGTTTCTCGTGAAATGTACTTTTGTAACTTTACAGGAATCTCCCTCAGAAACGGAAAGTTGCATTGATATTATAAGGTATGGTGGTTAGCACATTACTCTCGATTTCAATTTGCTTTTCAAAACTGACTTCCAATGTTTACTTGTAAATTCGAAATGTTCGTTGTAAAGTTCCGAAGTTTGTTTCGAAGTTCGTTCCGATCATTTACGATAATAAAGTTTAATAAGTTGTAATTGTCTAGTTAAGTGAATCATCGTAAATCGTCGTAACGAACTTTGAAACAAACTTCGGAACTTTACAACGAACATTCCGAATTTACAAGTAAACATTGGAATTTGACTTCTGGAAGTTTTGAAAAGCAAATTGAAATCGAGAGTAATAAGGAGAGTGCCACAGACATAATCATAATGTTTGCATGAAATGGATTACATGCATACAAATTGGATTTATGTTATACATAATTACTTTTACCCCTCATTAGTTTACCCTTCGCTACACCACAGAGTAGATGGCTACACTCTGTACAAAGAGAAAAAATTGCATCATTGAGTAGCATAAACAACTATTAAACAGAAGCGGGTGTTTGTATCATTGTATGGCGTTTGCGAAGAAAATAACCAACAAAATAACTTGCGAGACTAAAGAAAATCTCTTGACTCGTCGGAGCTTTATTGAAACGAGAAAGACGAGGATATAGCCAACGTGTTATCGCCAACCGCTTGACTTCCCAGCAAGCTTTATGAAATAGAAGAAAAGGCAAGGAGCTATCCAACGTGTACGGTCACGGGCCTTGTTCACATGTCTGGCACAATGGTGCAAACTGGTGTTCAATGGCACAATGCAATATTCAATGCAACGAGAACTCTACCAGATCTTACGAGAATCTATCTGTATCAAAGCTTTATCAAAACTGCTATAAACACTGCTACTGTGAAATTATTGACATCTAAAGTGACATTATTGAATACTTGCGAAAAGCTGAAAATGACTCATAAAAACAACTTGAGTTTTGGCCTTGGGAATATAAAGTCAAAGGTCAATGAGACTTAGCGGATCCATGAAGCGAATGCGGAACGGATATGGGGATAAAATGCGTCATTTAAACGTGTTTTTTCGCCTCATTTTTACGTTTCTGTGTTCTTATGTTTTTTTTGTAATGGATGCAACGTCGTATTAACTAGATATACAGCCATTTCAATTAACGAGTGTCACTTAAATTAACGAGACAATAGTCAAATGTGCAATATGGGCGCTGATAGTTTTAAATAAGTTTAGTATATCAGCAGCCTCATGGGGATACTTCCAGCGACAGCTCCCAATGCATATGTAGTTTTAGAATATATAGAATTTGGTTTTTGGTGAAAGAATTTAAATTTCGAGTTGTCGCGTGTAGCATCACAATAAATAAATAAATTGGATCTGTTCCACGAGGCACGACGATAGAAGTGACAATGAATTGTTTCTCTCGTAAAAACGTTGTTCTAATCCACATTTTTGAGTAATGTGCAGGGTTGGTATGTTAGATGAAGAATTAGGCCAAATCGTCATTAGTGCCGTTTAGAAAACAAATATAGCAAAAGGCCAAGACAAAGAAAACAAAGGCCTAATGTGACGGTGTTTGGCCTAATTATTCAGCAAACCTACCAACCCTGGTAACGTGCCTGCTCTAGCCTATGCCTGCTCGACCCTACACAGTTCTTTCCGATCTTATTATTTGAAACTTTACACTATCCTTGGATCCTTAGTTACCTATTGTGACCCATTCTCTTGGTGTTTCCAGCTCATCATGTGCACATCTCGAACATAAGTTGCCAGCATGTCCTTCATGTCTATTTTCAACATGATTTTTAAACGACCTCCTCTTTGCCAGAATTATTTCCTCAAACCCTTCTTTGGTCCTTGTTGCGCACCAATACAGATGATTTCTGACACCTTTGATCCAATTCATAAGGATTTTACAGCCTTTTTCTTTTCCAGCGTTCATAAGTTTCCTGGAGATGGATTGTGCCACATGCCAGATGTCAAAAAAGTGGTTGGTGTCAGGTCTGGATTCTCTTACCCATTTAGCAATACCTGCATGCCGATATGAACCTGCTCCTTCCAAAAATAAAAAACATTATTTTGCTCCATCCAGTTCCATCTGATTGCTTCCACCAGATTCATTACTCTTTCGCGCGTTCTGATTGGCTAGTTGACTAGTAAATCTGACGCATTATTTACCACCTGACTAGTATAAATAATGCTTTCCAAAAGAAATTCAAAACCTGGTTTCAAAATCGACGAAATATTGAAAAAATCGTCTCCACAAAACGAAAAAAGCACAAAATGTTGTATTTAAAACCAGCCAAATTTGTTTATTCATTAAAAATTCATACTAAAACAATTAATCGCCTCACGCTCAGTGATTACGGTGAATATTCACCTCGACTTCGTCTCGGTGAATATTCACCGGTAATCACTTCGCCTTCGGCGAATAATTGTTAATTATTAAATGGTTATTTTTTTAGCACATGGAACATCCTAGCTTTGAACATATTGATTTACTTTCTGTCTCTAGATTATTTTACCACAAATGCTGTGCAACCTAAAACAAATTTCTTAAAATAAAGAGATAGTGCATAGGATTAACTGGTTATGGTTTAAACTAATAAAAATAAGTTAAGTACAATCCCTATCCTAGTCCTAATCCTAACCTCAATCTCAACTCCTAATTAACCTAAGAGATAATTTAATCAAAATCACCCAAAAGAGTTCCCTGTGAAAGTTCAAAATGAACAAACTTTTCAATGGGTGAGCAAAACATTGAATACGTGCCATATTTGGCAGAACGTCCCATTGAATCAAATCTGCCATCACCAATCCAAACAATGTCCTCCATAGCCTTCACTTTTTGAACAAGTCCTTTTCTGTACACCTCCCAATGATGAGAATTGCAGGGACAATGAACTGGCTTTGATAAAGAAAGAAAGTACGGCTTCTTGTAACACACATCCCCATATTCTTGAACACCAGAAGAATTTTGCTTACAGATGCCCCAGCCATCAATATTCCAAAATTTAAAACAATATTACCAGCTGGGTACTTTCCAAGCACTAATGGTTGAGATCTCCATTCGAATGCACTGTCACCACATGATGGACAATTTGCACTAAAGTTACCATGGTCACAGTCTTGAAAGTTTCGACTGTTGGAGTACGCTGCCGACATTTGAAACAAAACATGGAAAACAGGCATGAACTTTGGCTCCTTATACACAACGTCTGCTTCATTCATCATATATTAAAAAAAACTTTATGATCAATAGCCATATGTTTTGACCAATCAATCTGCAATGCAGCATTTTGATGTATGTGTACCAAAAATACAAGCTTTGTGGTGAAAATGTTGCACTCTAGTAATAGCTCAGGGGTTCCGACTCAAGGAACTTTGTTCCATCATTTCATGATGCATCATCAAGTGGATAAACATCATCCTACTGTACTCAGTTTATACCTGATATGGTTTCTTTTGTGCATTTCTGGGTCGTCATCAGCATCAGAGGATTCACAGCATTCTTCATCTCCCGGGCATGACTAGACTTGATCACAGTCATTTTCCATTTCAACATCATCTTCACTTTCACTCTCACTCAGATTCTCTTCTTCAACTGGGATGCAGGTGTTGCTATCTGAAGTTAAACTAGCTCCCTAAAATTAAAAAATTATAAAAAATTTGTCCAATTCATTTGGAAATTAATCCAGTCCCCCTTCCTAATATTCAGTGTACAGCAGAGAACAGTATAAGGCAGCAATTTAACTTATGCTATACAGATCGAGATAGCTATGAAATCATGTACGGCTATTAATATATAAAAGTACTGCTTACTTGGTCTTCCTTGCTTTTAGTTTTCAGCTCCTGTTCTCTTGTCTTCAATCTTTCAACACGTCTCTTTAAATTTTTGTTTCTTCTGGTGTGAGCAAGACACTCCATGTATTTGTTTACACCAGCACTACCAGCCAAATCACCAGCACCACCAGCCAAATCACGAGCACCACCAGCCAAATCACCAGCACCCCCAAGCAAATCACCAGCACCACCAGACAAATCACCAACACCACACGAGAAATCACCAGCACCACCAAACAAATCACCAGCACCACCAGAAAAATCACCAGCACCACCAGACAAACCACTAGAAACACCAGCGAAATCATCAACACACTCCCCTTGTGTGATAGCAAAAGCCAATTTTCTTCGTTTTGTTGGAGGGGAGGCAAATATTCTCGGGCAGCTTTACGCATCAACTACAAAATGGAATTTATAAAATGTTAATTATGATTAAAATGGCATACAAAATACTATCAAGT